CCTTTATTTAATTAATCTCTTTTAGCCACAAAATTAATTCTTATTAATTCTTGAGTAATATTAATTAAACAATATGCTTTCTCTTTTAATATATTATTCACATAATATATTAATAAATCATGATTAATCTCCTCTCTCCTTAATTCATCCTATCAATTGCTATGATGAAGGCAACCCAAAAGGACCATGCTCGCATTCGGGTCAAGTACATACCAAAATAGTTATGGGCTTAGACACTAATCCAACAATCATTTCATTCCCTATGAAACAGATGGTTTGTACATCAACATATTACAACTGAAACCTTACTACATAAACACTCACTCTCATATGTAATCTATTTAAATCAATATACAGAATATGAACAAACTCTAGAATATGAACAAACCCTAGAACATGAACAAACCCTAGACTGAAGATGAGAGAAAACAAGAGAGTTCTGAAAATATCTTGATAGGAATGAGACAAACGATCCAACATCTAGCTATATACCCGGGTCACTCACATTATGGATACAACCCACAACCCGCGTGTCAACCCGCACATAAACCCGACTACACCTGCATTCAACTTTCACAACACACCCCTACACGTGTACATAAATACATACCTTACGTTGAACTCTTATAAATTAATGTTTAAGTTTGAAACCAATATTTATTAACTCTTTCAACACAATAATTACTTAAAACAAAAGAACTATATATATATATATATATATATATATATATATATATATATATATCCAATTGGATTGGATCAGTCGGTTTGGGATTGGGTTTGGATGGTCATCCAAGAACCAAAAGATCCGATTTGGATATTGAAATTTTCAAACCGATCCAATCCAATTACAATTAGATATCAAATGTATGTGAGTAGGTATGAAATGGATTGGTCGTTTTGAATTGGATCGGTTTTTTAAGCATACACCAAGTTTCGTGTGAGTTCTTAGTGTTGTGTATTTTCCTCAGTTTTTTGGGTGTGTGTTTTAAGTTCATAAGGGTAGTCAATTGCTTAGGTATAACACTGTGAAATCATGACACTTTTTAAAATGTGTGGTTTTTAGGTGACATGCAAATGGGGTAGGTTTAAACTTCCATGTGCGTATTCATTTATTTCTTGTGTGTATTTATTTTGTCACTCTGATGAAAACTGGGGTTATGGTAGGTGGATTGGGGGGAGGGGGGGGGTCCAAAACAATCTTGGGGTTCTTGGTGTGTTTGGTGTGAGTATTTTTTCTATTTTAAGGGTAGTAATTTTTACGATCTTGTTGTGAAGTTTGACACTTCTTCAAATGTGTCCTTGCATGTCAAAAAAATGGGTGGGTGGTCCTTTTGTGTGTAGATATTTTTCCGTGTTTAGCCGTAACATGTAAGTGTCTTTGGAAGATGGGACATTTATGATCGCATCGTATTTAGATTTCTCTCACTTGGTTAAGTTATTCATCAGGTTTGGTTTATCAATTTGATATAGTTTGGATATGATGTTGTCCTTTCAAGTGCTCAGGCTGGAAGGTTTTGATTTTTATTTAACAAGGTCTACAAGTCTAGTGAGTATTGTTTAGGATGGGTGGAATATTTTCTATTTTGGTTTTTTATGAACTAAGTGTTCAATTGTGTCAACATCATCTTCTGGAGCTCGATGGGATGTCATATTCTTGTGTGGAGGTATATGGATCATGAATAATGTGTTGTTATTGGGATCTGCTCACACTTTAGGTTGAAGTGTTATGTTCGTTGATGTTGTTGTCTAAAGGCCCAAAACTCATTGTCCTTTATGCGATGATGATACTCCGTATCCTTGTGCGGTTATACATTAGTCTATATGGATATAAGAGTGTTATTTATGCATATGGTTCAAAACTATAATGCCTTGATTGGGTGATGTTTGAAACTAATATATACAACATAGTTCATCGTTATTTTTACTTCTGATCAAAAGTATAATGTCATTCTTGGGTGTTGTTGGTATGTTACTTTTCTTAGTCCAAGTCTAGGCTCCTTGGCTTGTACCGAGGATTCTTTATTCATTTTTGTTGCACTTTTATTCTTGTTTTAGGTTTTTTACTGTATTCAAATTCCATTATGGTCCAGCTTCCTGCAAGCTTTTTTCTTAATTTGATTTCTCTGCCTAAAAAAGTTAATATCCTCTAAAGATGTTCTTAAATCCAAATGTATGCAATAACTAGTGTCATATCTCGTTGAATAAGTCAATCAAATGATCGAATACGACATCCACCCCCAAAGATTATTTTAATGAATAACCTTGCAATGCCAACATTTTATTACTATACAACCTAAAGGTCACAGTTTAGATCAATTTAGATTATATTAAGTTGGTTGGTATAGTTGGCATGTCACCCCTCATCCACCATTCACCACCTCGGCATCATCTCCACACAACAACCTTAAGGGAGTGCTCATCACGGGAAAAAAAGATTAAAAGAGAAGAAAAAGAAAAGACTGTATGTTCAGCCGTGAGGGGGTTTATAGGGCACCATGTCACCTCAGCATCACGGCTAACAGCTAAGGGGGACGAAATGAAAACCCTCAACCTCGTGATGTTGAGGCGTGATGACCTTCTATCTTTAACAAATATGATAATATATATTGAAAACATTTGTTAAAAAAAAAGAATATTGACCATACAATCTCCTAAATTGATGTTGAGGCGTGATGACCTTCTATCTTTAACAAATATGATATAGTATTTTGAAAACATTTGTCAAAAAAAAAAAAACAAAAAACAAAAAAAACTTTTGACCATACAGTCTCCTAAATCAATATATTCATAAATATATATCGTTATCACAAGAAACTTTATATAGTCATTAATGACCAAATGCTTATTTAATAGTATTTGTAGATCTTTTAAAAAATGAACACATATTGCAAATTTCGATGGTAACAATATACAACATTTTCTACTAGCACATTGCTAGTTTTTTTTAAGTATTTGCCTTTCTAAAAAAACAATATACAACAAACTTACAAATCAAAAATCAAAACGAACAGTTCGGACGAATTAGGTAACCGGTCAAAATAGGTTTTGATGAAAACGGGTAATGTTTAAGTGTGGCTTCAATCACCTCTTTTTGTATATTTTAAATAAATGATTAACATGTCAAATATAATTACAAAGATAATATTGTTAAAACTAATCTAACTCGTTACATAAAAAAAATTAGAGACTTATAAAGACCTAAATACATTTTAGAAAACATTCAGCTCCTTTGACTCATTTTATTTATTACTATTTTTTGTTAATTATTGTACACCTTATCAATAAACTACATGCCAATTGTAATATTTTTTGGAAAAGATTTTGAGGACCCAGTCCCCAGATAATCAAATCATAATGAAACATAAATGGGTTTACTGTTTAAATCCAAACATATATTTTTAAACACCAAGGAAACAAAGTCCGTCCTTCACATGGATTTGTTTCTATAAATATCAAATAAGTTGTCACTAGTGAGTTGTGAATGATTGTAGTAGGTTTACATGGGCGCCCAATGATTTGTGTATTATTTGCACAATCTGTATACAAATATTTAAAGGGTAAATACCATAAAAACCCTTAACTTTATCAGTTTTTGTCGGTTTTACCCAAACTCGTATTTTAGATCTATTAATGTCTCAAATTTGCAACTTTTTTTTTTCAATCTTACCCTTACAAACTTATTTGGTAAAACTGAATTTTTTTTTTGCCAACCTTAAGGACTTTAACGAATTAGAAAACTAAACTTAAAGGCTTTTATGAACAAAAAAAAAAGTAGAATCGAACATTTCTACCAAACTCAAGGCTTTAATAAACCAGAAGGTAAAAAAAAAGGTTGTAAATATCGGGTTTTAATGAACCTAAAATATGCAAAAGGGTACAACCGTAAAACTTACAAACTTAAGGGTTTTTATCATAGTCACAGGATTCGCCAAAGTAGTCACGATCCACGTTCCAAACGGCCCGATCCCAAACGCGGTACGATTGCGTACCAAACGCCGACAGAAACGCCATGTGGTACGTCTTGCTTGCGATCCCACCATTTATCTAAATCGATACTTGAAACATGAAATTGGTGAATCGGATTGCACAGAATCGTGATTGGGATCGGCAATTTTGGTTCTGGAACGCCGATATGTGTTTAGGCGGGGAATTGATTTCATCTGGAAAAAGTCGTCGACGCTTGATTTCTTGATTCAATTCGTCGATTCAATTTCTAATGTTTGGACTTCTACATCTGATTCTTCTAATCAATTTTAATAATTATAATAGCCATGCCACTAGTCCAACATCACCACAGTTCTACTTCTATGCTATATTGACTCTCTCCTATATATCCTTTCTTTATTGATTTATCTTTGAAAATGATTTTTGTAAGTCTTTGCACGTTTAGAAGTTATGTTTTGTTAGTCGACTTTGCTTGAGTTATGTTTAGAACATGGTACACCGTATCGGAATCTATGGTACACCGTACCCGGATGTACCGAAATGAACCTACCCCCACCGTATCCGATACGTCCTAACTGGCGAACCGCGTTCCCGTACCGGACCGTACCACGAACTATGTGACTATGGTTTTTATGTCATTATCCCTATATTTAAATGGTTTCCTTTAAATCTTCCATAAATCTTCCATAAGAAAAAACTCTTGTTTTCTTGTATACGATATACAAAATTCAAAAGCTGACTACCAAAAATTGGCAAGTTAGATTCCTAACTTTATGTACATTTTGTTAAATAAATCATCCAATATATTTCAAACAAGACCGAAGAACTCAAAATATGTACTCAATTGAAATGAGAATCACGTTCCAAACCCAAAATACCCGGTCTAAATCAAATATTTTCAGTTCTCTACGAGTTTAGCAGAGTTTTGAGTTATGTGATTAGAACAAAAATCATCCAATTGATCTCAAATATCATCATCTATCTATATGTTTAATATGTATATATTTATATAAGGACCCATAAAAAGTAGGGTTAGAGAATAGAGATGGGACCTAATTTTCACCAATGGCGCAAGGAATGCAAGGAGGATCTTTTGCTTGGTCTTGAGGAGTGATTTTTTGCAAACATTGATCATGAAAAGTATGGCCACAAGGAAGAACAGCAACTGCTGGTGGTGCTGTAGGCTGGTATACTGCACCTTCTGATGTTAAAGAGAGGTCCCTCTTGCATAGCAAGCATTTATATTTTGTCAATTCAGGAGGACTTGTCTCAGGATCTGGCATATTATAATCAAACACAATATGTTTAGTTACCATGTCATATATATGAAGAAATATTAAGAGTAAGAAACGATAGTGTACCTTTCCATGTAATATGAGAGACTGTAGGAGTAGGAGCAGCTGTCACAGGAACACGAGGTCTAAAATTTGATGTGTAAGGCATAGAAGGATGCATAAGAGCACGAACACGTTGTTGAGTCTGTGATTGTGATTGGTAGATTGGTATGGAAGGATGAACAAGATTGGTTGTTACAGGAGCAGCTGGTTTTGTGGGGAATCGGATTGGCATCGAATGATGAGTAGTTGTTGGATGTGACATCTTCTGGCGTTGAACCCAATGGGGACCTGAAGGTGGGGCCACTGCACTTCTCTTGTGATATGGTCTCGCATAATACTTAGACTTATTAGAGAGACCATCAACAGAAGTTGTAGAAGCTTGTCCTCTAGGATCATTAGGAAGCTGAACCATTTGAGATTGGCCTAGATAAGACCAAAAAAAAAAAAAAAAAAAAAAAATCAAATGTGTATGCAATATATCCAACTGTATACATACACTTCTTAGGTTTTTATTTACCATGACTGAAAAGGGGGCCTTGAGGATTCAACGGATAACTGACAGGTGCTGCATCAATTCGATCTGATTGTCATAAAAACAATCTCAAGAAATTAAAAAGCTCACCCAATGATATGGGGAAGGAGAGCAAGTAGTCATACCAATAGAAGGTCGGACAACATTATCTGGATATTGACGTGTTTGACTTTGACCTGAAAATCAAAATTAATCTCACATGATAGTAAGACTTAACTTGTTGTCTATAACTGTATAAAAAGAGTCTATGTCACTCAGGATACCTGCACTAGTTGTCTGCAAGCTTATTTGTCTCTCAGCAGATTGAGGGCTATCTCTCCCATTAACCTCAACTCCCAGCCTTTTTGGGAATGGGAGATCTGTTACACCTTGACCACTGCTAACCCAAGATACTTGAGGCACTGCTGTCCTCTGGTTCTGTGAAAGCAGACCACCCCCAGGACCTTGGGTAGGCATGTGATTCTGTAAATATGAATGTTTTCCTACAAGAAAACATATTGATTCAATAAGGATAACCTAATCTAAACTGAAAACAATCACTTTGCTTACCTGCATAATTCTGTCTGGTAGAAGTAGAACCACTTCCAAGTTTGAGAGAAGAATTCATGGAACTCTCTGATGGTAGGGTGTTTGTAGTTTTGAAACGAATATTCTGTAGCTTCCCGGAAGGTGTATGAGACATGGTATATGAAGGCTTAGCAGATTCTTGCACAACCCTATTCAAACCATGTTGCTGGGAATTAAGGAATTGAGCTGAATTGCCACCAATTGTTCCTGAATGCACAGCTTGATTACCTACAGAGGCTCTATAATGATTCACATCACCATAACCTGCATTCCTGCTGCTCAGAAAAGTTGAGTTGCTATCATCATGCCTAGAAATGCCATGCTGCATATCATTTTGTTGCATTTCTAAAATATGATAAGGGCTAGAACCTGGCCCACTATTTGGAGTACAATGAACTCCAACCTCATTTCCAGTTGAGGTTATTCGATCCAATTGATTAGAGAAACCACTAGTGCTTCTCTGGAAACCTGGAAAGTTAGCATTTAAAGTTTGACTTTGACCCATAGCTTTCCGAGCACGAGCCATTTTTAACTCAGCTGAAGCTGCTTCTTTTAGCTTGTCAGAAGTCTCTCTGCTGCCTGGTTGAGAGGTAGGTATGGCTTCTTCAGTGCCACCAATGCCAAGACTCAGGAAACTCCTCTCAACTTTTCCTTGAACCCCACATTGACTGTTATTGAAGTTGACATTGTTTTGAGTATGAATTGGTGCAGTGTCTCTAGGGCGATAATGCAAAGGCGAGTGAGCAAAATGTCCATCTAACTGTGGTCTATTAAAAGGTCCAAATTTTGATTCTCCAGCCTGTCTGTTCATCTGAAGATCTCCAGCAAAGTTTCTAGCAGTAGTTGGATTCTTACTAGACCATGGGTTCTCAAAGTTACTAATGACAGCTCCATTGTTCATCCCACCAGCTAAAATGGCATTGTGTCCTTGATTGATAAACTGTGGACTCCATTTCGTGTTCCATTCAGGTACTAATGGAACTTCTGGAAGGTCTGTGTTTGCAGTACTGGAATTCAGGTTAAGTTGGGGGTTCTGGAAGCTACTAGGGTTCATGAGATAAGCCATGGGGTTTCCACTAGTTTCAGGCATCCTTTGGGTAATTGGCTGATTCATTGAATACATATTCTCCCAACCAGGGGAGATCAGGAGGGGAGAATCTGGGATGGACTCAAAATGACCTGCAGAAACATTTGCTTCTTGAAAAGTCGCATTGCTGGTTGATTGTGTATTTGAAGCAATGCAATTTGCTTGTATTACTGAATTAGTAAAGGTAGGGGGTTGGTCCTTCTCATTTGTTCTTCTACTTCCCATCATCAGATGATTCTGTCAATGATTCACTAAAAATGAGAACAGCATAATCGCTATACATGTCTTTTAACTTAATAACGCAGAAAACACCACTTGATAATCACATTCACAAATGTATTGACCAGTGAAGCGTACGTGTTTGTAGAATCTAATCATCTCCTAGAGCCATCAGACCCCTAAATTAGGGTAATTAACCCCAAAAACACAAACAAAAACAAAACCCCCAACTAATAGAGATGAATTAGTAAATAGTCAAAACACACACAATCATGCATTCTTATCAAAATCATTTAGGGGAAAGAACATAAAAGAACGAGTAATAAAAGAGCAGAAACCCTTCCGATCATCAAGCTTCAAAAAAAGAACCCGAAACGCTTAAAGTATGAACTCTTAAACACCAACCAAGTCACATGATAGTGATGAATGCGAAACAAATTACAGCCACAGTTAGCTTAGGGACTACGAAACCTAACGATCGTCTGTTCATCAGAATCATGGAACAACAAAAAAACAATAGCAATAAAAATCCGCTGGATGACGATCAGTTACTATACAAACGATCAACAACATAAATAGCGACAATCAGAGCAGCACAGAGATGAAATTCAAGGGATAATCATAAATTACAGCTATTATATACAAATTCATAGATAAACAAACGATTGTAATAGTAAGGTTTGTACGTTCATACTTCCGAGTGATGGGAGCGAGTTCTTGATCGGGGAAGAAGGAGAGAGAAAAAGAGAGAGGTGCTTTTTGGCGCTTAGGGCTGGATGGGAGTTTTAAAGGGTTCGGTGTGGGGACCAAAATAAGCTGATGTCAGAGGACATGTGGATCCATTAGGGGCCATGTGATGACGTGTCATACTTCTCCTTTCATGACAGGCGGCAGAGGTTTAAGACATGAGATCACAAAACGACGCGCGTTTTAATGGATGGCAAAATAGTAATTTCCTAGGATGCGCAAGGGTATTCGTCGGAAGATTGAATGTGAGATTTGAGAGTGTAATTAAAGGAGCGTTTGGTTCGGGAATTATTTTGAAAATAACTTCAATTTTAACACCCAAATTGAAAGGAAATAAATTTTATCAGCAAAATTGAGTGCGAAAAATTTTGAATTTAAAGGAATTAAAATTTTGTTACTTATTTAGTGGAAAAACTATATAAATTCAATTTTAATAATTGTGTATATTGGTAGTAAATTATGGGTTTTACCGTGAACAATGTAGCGAAACCCTTGTGTTGGAATGAAAGAAATGATGCAAATATAAAAATACATGAAAATGAAGTGTTAGGGAAAAAAAAAACATTGTGTTGTTCTGAAATGAAAGTTAGGCCCCGTTTGATAGTTGCTGACTGAAAAACGTCTGTCTCAGTAAGAAATTCTGACTAAGTAAGAAACCATATTGTTTGATTGTACATCTGACTGAATGTGCTGACTGATGCAAAATGACCATTTTACCATGATGCTCTATACGTTTCTATGCAATAATAATAATAATAATAATAATAATAATAATAATAAATCAATGCTATACAATATATAAAACGTTTGAGCAACTATAGCAAAAGAAAGCCTCTAGTTTGGTGGTAAATATGTTGGTTTGTGAATGTGAGCTGATGGGTTCGATTCCCATCACCCTCTTTTCCACTCTAGTATTTTTAAAGCCCATGTGTAAGTTTGGAAAGCCTTTCTCCGTTTCTCAGTCAGCTAACTCACGACCTCTTTCTCACTCAGATCTTACTGACCGAGTCAGCTACCAAAATTTCGTTTATCAAACAACTTCAGCTGACCGAGTCAGCCAAAAATGTCTGACCTGACTCGGTCAGACATACATCAAACAGGGCCTTAGCCCACTGCCCATACGAATATGAATATCAAAACCATATCTTAAAGAATCACTTCCAATTATATTTGTTTTCCACATAAACAACACCACGCCATGGGATAAGATTTGATTGTTCTCGTCACTTCCCTAACCTGAAAACAATTCTTTAGTACACATTCCTATCAAAAAGCAACCATCTAAACTAATAACTTGATACATGCTTCTGTGAACATCTATGTTTTATCCCTTTAAGATATACATAGAACTTATCAAAATAAGTAGTTCCAATATGAATTATGTCGACATCTATTTTAATTGTGGAACTATGGTTTGACCTATTTATTTCTTCCCCACAACTTCATAATATGGCATAATGTTCATTCAAAGACCCTTCAAGTTCATTTGGTGCATGTTTCTTTGTCATAAACCGACATAAATGTTGAATTTCTTGGTGACAACAACTTTAAGTTCCCTTAGTGACATGTGTTGGTTGGCTAGAGATTCCTTTTGAAAATGTTCCACAATCCATTCATATATGATGAGTAGAGATACACATGAAAATCGGATCCTTGGTATGTATCCGATCTGAAAACTGGACTTGGTAAAAATCGTTTTTTGACCAAACCTGACCGAGTCAAAATCGGTTTCGTATTTCAGATTAAAAAATGGATTGGACTCGTCTCATAAACTGGATTAAATTTTATACTTTTTAGATATTTCTTTTACTAATCATTTATGTTCTTTTTTTGCAGATATATTTTGATTTTCATTGCTATCAGGATACAACTTTATGGGAAGATGTTCGAGCGACTGTCCAAGCCGACTGCCAAAGAGCATATAAAGAACACAATCATGATGTGAAAGAACATTTTGACGTTGCCGGTGGATATGTAGACGTGGAAACTGCAAAAAATCCACCAGTTAATTGGGAAGTCGATATGTAACGTCCGGTTCCTGGTATGTATTTTAAATAAAATTTATTCTCTTTTGTATAGAAACTCGACGAGTTGGAGGCCCCAAACTCGTCGAGTAGGAACGAAACTTGGACGCGGGGTTCGAAGCCTACTTGACGAGTTGAGAGCCTCAACTCGACGAGTAGGATTGCCAGAGTGAAACCCTAATTTTCAGGGTTTTGCACCATGTTTAAAGGACTTAATCCTTTCCTTCAGCCTCCCTAAAACCCTAAATCGCATTGTGAGCTCTTTGGTGAGAAACTTGAAGTTTTGAGTGGATTTGTGTGTGTTTTTGTGCTTGGTGAAGGAGTTGGAAGAACTAGAAGTCATCAAGCTTGAAGAGGAGCATTAGATCTAAGATTTCGTCCATCTTTGGCCGTATTTTGAGGTAAAAAGTCCTCACCTTGATGATTCATAGCTTAGATCTCTTTTAGTTTTGATTTATGGGTCTTTTGGACCCCATTGTGGGAATCATGATGCCCTTCATGGATCTTATGCTAAGGGTTCCCATTTCCAGTGTTATATGGCCCTTAGAATCATAAAAAGGGTCTTAAACCCGTCCTTGTCCAAGAAAAGGCCATCTCCATGATAGTAGGTTGCTATATCTCGACTTTGGGTCTATTTGAGGCATACAAAGCCATCAAGTTGTCAAATTTACAGAAATGGGTAATGGAAACAATATGGATTTGTATTATGGAACCTTAAATATGAGAAAAGGACTAAATAGACTAGAAATGCAAGGAACTCGACGAGTTCATATAGGAACTCGACGAGTTTGGTCGAACGTTCCCGAATATGTACATGGAACTCGACGAGTCCACAAGGGAACTCGACGAGTTGTGTTAGGAAGTCTCGTTTCTGTTAAGAATGAGGAACTCGGCGAGTTGGAGGAAAACTCGACGAGTTGGATCATGATTTCAGAGTTTATGATTTATGGAACTCAGCGAGTTGATGGACCAACTCGGCGAGTTGAGTCAACCCAAAATGTTGACTTTGACCATAACGTTGACTTTGACCAAAATGTTGACTTTGACTTTGATGGTTTCATTTTATTTACTTCTTTTTATAGTTTATTTTAGCATATTTCATTCACATTTTAGTTAATTTCCATGCATATTTTTTCTTTTTGTTATTTTATGACCACTTTCGGGTACTTTCTAGTTCCGTGAGTATAATTGCAGATTTTAAGGAGACTAGCGGAGCGGGATCTTTGGGAAGAAATTGGACTTGGAGGACAACAAGGATTTTGGGCTTGATGGCTATGGAGATGATGCATGGAGTGGGCTTGTCAATTATTTGAAGGCTTGGAAGAATTAAACTTTAAATTTGCGAGATGCGGGAGAATTTTCGAGTATGCGAAGATTGATGATCGGGCGATTACGGAAGCTATGGATCGTTTAGAAAAGGCCAATTGGTCTTAAAATGAAGAAATCTTGAAGAAAAATGGGCTAGAAGCTGGTTGGACTCGAACTGGGCCAATGAGTTAAGTTGTGGAGGCCCAAAATTGGAAGAAGCCCAATCTCCGTCACTTTCACGCGGCCCGCGTAAGATACCCACGCGGCCCACGTGGGTTCCTGCTGGGGCATTTTCAGAATTTCATTTGAAGCTCTATATTGGGAAGGTTGGTGTGCCACTTTAGCCAACTCTTGCACATCCGAAAATACAACATTTCTTTGGAGATTTTGGAGCATTTTTTGAAGACCAAAAAAACCTTGAAGTACTTCATCTTTTCACCTCTTGATTCTTGTTAAATGTTTGGTACGATCTTTTCTAACTTTGTTTTCTTGAGTTTAAGCATGTTTGGCTAAACAAAACTTGGTTGACTTTTGTGGAATCCTTTGAACTTTTGTTGAATGTTGAAGATTTCATGAATTTGTTCTTGAATCCTTATGGAAATGTTTTGTGTTTTAACATCTTATCAGTACTTGTATGTTTTTATTCATGAGTTTAAATGTGTTTGTGGTGATTAGTTGGCAAATTTCTTGATTAAGTAAAGGATCCTCAAATTAGCAAGAAACAAATGATTATTGTGTTAGTTTTGGTTCACACAATCATAAAAAAACATTTTCTCCAACATGGTAGTGAAAGCATTTGACTCCTCTTGGATTTGGTGACTTTTTAGTTCTTAATGCTAGTTGACTTTCACTAATTACATGTTTAATGGAAATTGTGACTTTGACTAAGGAAATTGTTATGAACTTCTCTAACCATTTTAATAACAGAGA